CCCTGCCGCGCCCATTTAGCCCCCTCGATCCAGACGAACAAAAGCTGTTTAGGCATCCGGTGGCTGGGCATGCGGGCTACGTGACCCAGCCAACACAGCCTTGCCTGCCTGAGGTGCTCACCGATGGGACTTTGTCCAGATCTTTCGAGGATTTGTGAGCTCCTCACACAATCCAGCCTGGTTAAAACCAAGATTGATCGTAGGCAGGCCAGCCTAAATGTTTCTAACCGGCGAAGATGTTCCATTAGGGGGGGTCCACGTTTCGCAAGCGTAGAGAAGGGAGGGAATGACCGTGGCCGAGAAGACCTGAAGCATAGTGACAGACCAGGTAGCTTCCACACAGCGTTACGCAATCGATTAAAAGATATTGCTGCTCGACTGATTCGGAGTGAGACCTCTGCTGTCAAACCGGAGCCGGTCATGAGCACATTGCCCAGGTATGGGAAACTCTACACTCTCTCCACAACTGCCCTATCACTAATTGGGAGTTGTGGGGGTGGAGTGTCCAACGGTACAAAATACCCAGGCAGGTGCTTAGTTTTGGTGGGGCTAATGGTAAGGCCCCACCTATTAGTGGCTAGCTCCAGGTTCAGCAGCAGCACTTCCAACTCCTTCTCTGAGTGAGCAGCAATAACCAGATAATCGGCATATATAACTTGGTTGACCAATAGGGAGCCATCCCTTGACTGCACCGGGGCATCGATCAGCCTCCCATTGTATCTGTACCAGATGGAAATTCCTCCAATACAGCTATTGAAGGCTTCACGAACCACGTGGTCAAAATAGATGTTAAATAATGTGGGAGCCAGAGGACATCCCTGTCGCACTCCAAGGTGAAAAGGGAATGGCTCTGACTCACGGCCACGTCATGAAGGTCCTTAATGATCGTGAGCAGAGGGGTCTGGGACTCCGAAAGCACAAAGAATAACCCAGAGCCCAGGCCTACTGATGGTATCATAGGCCTTGACCAGGTCAATAAAGCCGAGATGCAGGTTTTTGATGGAATTTCTTACACCTCTGCTGTAGCAAACGGACAGAAAATATGGCATCTGTGCAGGACCGCCCTTTCCTGAAACCGCATTGGGGTTCTGCAAGCCTCTACTCAGTGTGCCTAGCAAGGCGATTTTGAATAATCCTTACCAGGACCTTTCCCGGCACACTGAGGAGTGAGATGCCCCTGTAGTTCTTAAAGAGGGGGACCACCAGGGCATCCTTCCAATTCTACGGAACCCGTCCAGTGGTCCAGACTGTTGTTATGATGTCATGTAGGGCAGTCTGTGCACAAACGCCACCCTCCCTCATTTCGCTTGGGCGATCATCTCTGCCCGGTGCCTTTCCTGGTCTCAGATTCTGGATCGCCTTCAGTACTTCCTCAACAGATGGCACCTCAGCCAGCCACTCATAGGGGGTGACTTCCAATATTTGAGACACCGCAGCCTCAAGCAGGGTCATCCCCACTTTGTCCCACGATGTTTTCCAGGCCGAGGGATTTCCCCTCCCCTAGAACCTCACAGACACACCACACACACACTACCACACAACCACCCACATACACACCCCACCACACACAACATTCGATCGCTGTGGTGGCTAGGAGATGTTATCTCCCGCGCCTGGTATGCAGGAGTCCATGAGTTCAATCTCGACCCTGACGACGCCTGCTGCTGTATATTTGGAGTCTGCGTGTTCTTTCCCTCGCTTTCCCCGTGGTCACCCGGATTTTTCTCCGGGTCCTCCGGTTACTTCCCCTCCACGTTTATAATGCAGTAGTTTCGATGATTTGGCTGCCGTACATTTCCACGCGGTGACGAGCCACTTTTGTTGGGCTATCGTTTGTGATAGCCAGGTCGCTTGCTGAAGTAAAGAGCTACATTAGCTCAGCGGGGCCTTATTTGGTACGAAAAAAAAGAAGTAGTTTCGTTTCAAAATCGCAAATTGCTCCGGGAGTTGTTCTTAAGTGAAGCTGGTGGGGTATCGCACCTCCGACGAGCACCGTTGGCTACGTCCGGTGGTGCGACAAAGTTCAAACCTGCCAACCCCTTGTCAGTGCCCTACCCTATTACAGACCAATTCACACCTTGGTGGTCACCCCCGTCCTCTTACAAGTCTAAACGTTCATCCTACAAAGTCCCATCACAAGGGAGAAACACAAATAGACAACATTTTGCCCGTATTGAAACGGCTGTACGCCGTATGGACCTGAAAACTCAATTTCCTTTACAAGAGAACGGGGTAAACCGTGTGGGTTGGCATGTTTGCTCTATGTATCTCTATGGGTCTCTATGCATCTCTATGGGTCTGTGTCTATGTCATACCTGTCAACCCCTTATCAGTGACCTGCCTTATTACAGACAAATCCAGACCTTAGTGGTCACCACGTGCCCCTTATAAATCTCAACGTTCATCGCAAACAAATAGACAACACAAACAAAGATACACTCACCACCACTGCATACCTGTCAACCCCTTATCAGTGCCTACCGGATTACAAATTCAGACCTTGCCCTTATTAAAACGGCTGTGCGCGGTATGGACCTGAAAACTCAATTTCCCTGGACGAGAATAGGGGGTGAAGCGTGTTTGGCCGGCAGCTGTGGGAGGAAGTTCAACGCACAGACACACAAACACCGTTCATCAGTTATGGTCTCGGCAAGCCCCGCTCGAGGGCTTTGCCTGCGTTGGCACCGACGCGGCTGACAAAGCCGCGCACACCACTCACAGTCAACGTCCCGACAACGACAGTGGGGAAAACCAAGAATTGGCGCGCAGTCACCACCGCGTGCATGCTCGCAACGCCTCGCGATTGACTTCGCTTGGGAGTGACGGATGGTGGCAGAGGGCAATTGATGACAGATCAGTGTTACGTGCCTCCCCCCCCAAAGCCACAACGTGGGCCCCCCCCCAAACCCACATCAACATATTCTTAGCAACAGGCTGAGGCTCCAATTTGATGACAAAAGTCGCGAAAAAGGTGTCCCTAGCCAGCTCGGGATGCCGACGATCGGAGCCTCGAGCGAGCCACACGGGGGGAGCCGACGCCTTTCCTTGGAAGCCACCGAGCAGCTACAAACAGCAATTGAGCCGAGCCGTGTGAGAGGCGAGCCAGAGGCGAGTCAGGGGCGAGCTTGCGCCACGACCCCCACGACCTCACCACGCCCTTGGGTGGCGTGGCCACGGAGGGCAGCAGCGGAGGGCAGCCAGCAGCGCGAGGCCCCGTGGCGCGGGGCCTTGTTTATGTTGACGCGCGAACAGGTCGGGGTGGTTATTGGTGGTGCCGCGCCCTGCGTGAGCCGCCACGTCCAGCCGCCAGCCGTTGTAGAGGTAGAGAGCGAGAGGTAGGGACAGGTAGAGAGCGAGAGGTAGGGACAGGTAGAGAGCGAGAGGTAGGGACAGGTAGAGAGCGAGAGGTAGGGACAGGTAGAGAGCGAGAGGTAGGGGACAGGTAGAGAGCGAGAGGTAGGGGACAGGTAGAGAGGTAGGGACAGGTAGAGAGGTAGGGACAGGTAGAGAGGTAGGGACAGGTAGAGAGGTAGGGACAGGTAGAGAGCGAGAGGTAGGGGGGACAGGTAGAGAGCGAGAGGTAGGGGACAGGTAGAGCGAGAGGTAGGGACAGGTAGAGAGCGAGAGGTAGGGACAGGTAGAGAGCGAGAGGTAGGGACAGGTAGAGAGGTAGGGGCAGGTAGAGAGCGAGAGGTAGGGACAGGTAGAGAGCGAGAGGTAGGGACAGGTAGAGATCGAGAGGTAGAGACAGGTAGAGAGCGAGAGGTAGGGACAGGTAGAGAGCGAGAGGTAGGGGACAGGTAGAGAGCGAGAGGTAGGGACAGGTAGAGAGCGAGAGGTAGGGGCAGGTAGAGAGCGAGAGGTAGGGGCAGGTAGAGAGCGAGAGGTAGGGGCAGGTAGAGAGCGAGAGGTAGGGGCAGGTAGAGAGGTAGGGACAGGTAGAGAGCGAGAGGTAGGGACAGGTAAAGAGCTGCTTCCATAGCTGTGGACCCCACGCGGTTTAGCCCGTATTCTTGTACAGGGAAATTGAGTTCTCAGGCCCATACGGCGTACAGACGTTTCAAAGCGGGCAGCTACAATTGTGTTTCTCCCTAGTGATGGGACTTTGTGGGATGAACGTTGAGATTTACAAACGGCACGGGGTGACCGACAAGGTCTGACTTGGTCTGTAGTAAGCTAGGGGGCCCTGATATAAAAAAAAATGGGTTGACAGCGATGTTGCTTTTGGAGTCTTTTAGTTCGCTCCGGCACTCCGTGCTAAGTATTTATTTTATATCAAGTCGAGGCCTTCAGCACCAACACTTCACACACACACAGGGGAGGATAAAGTCACGCGTGCCACGCGAATGGCGAGTGGGAACAACGTTCCATGCTCACCACCACCACCAGTGCCCAATTTAAAGTGTGGCGAGCAGGACACTGTCTGGAGTGGATCACACGCGACTGCTTTGCTGCTGCTGCTGTTTGGCGGTGGTGGTGGTGGTACCATCGGAGGCGCGATGAATATTCTAGCAGCAGGAGGCACGCCCAGACTCCCCCACACCACTAACAACAACCACCACAGACAAAGATCTCCTCGCTCCGCGGAGCCTTAACAGACTGCTCAGAGGGATGGGGACTAGTGCTGTTAGCAGCAACAACAGCACCACCACCACTCGCCTTTGTCTCCCCGAAGTCAGCGATGTTTTAACGAGGGCAGCACCACGCAGGGTACTGCACTCATTTGAGGCCGAGTCGACCTAGGGGGAGGAGGGTCCCACAAACCGGTTCTCCAGACATTCGTCACCGCGGCTGCGACGTTGTCCGCGAGCGAGAATCGAACAAATCGGGTCGCCGGGTTCGCAGGAGCGCAATGCGCCAACCGTTGCGCCACCGCTCCCCCTCCCCACACACACACACAGACGCACACGATTAATAGCCACCGCCGTCCACCATCACAGTAGTCATTAATTAAACACGGGTCACGCAACGCAGAGGAGACAGAGAGAGCCCGGGGTTACCTTCAACAGCAGCAGCAACGGCACCGACGCTGTTGCTGTAACTAAACAGAGCAAGCCCTCTTCCCTCCGCCTCGTCCGCCTCGTCCTCCCTACCCTTCCCTCGTTCTCTGAAGGAGTCAAATTTGTGTGCGTACGAGGTGGGCTGGCGTAGCTGGGCTCGGCTGGCTCTCTCTCTCTCTCGCCGTCTCCCTCCTCTCTCCCCTCGTGAATTCGTGGTTGCCGTGTGGCTGGGTACGCGCCCGCGGGGATAGGATGGCCGGGGTTAGGTTCACCTGCTCAGCGCGGGTTGGCTGCCTCCTTCAATTACCAGCCCAACCCACTCACCAGCCCACCTCCATCTCTCTCCGCCCACCACCATCACCACTCCACCCACCCTCCTACGTAACTACAGCGAGCTAGGGAGGTTGCGAGGCGAGTGAGGAATGCGGTCTCCGAGTGTTAATCACACACACACACAGCATTCCAATGTCACACACCCACACAGTATCACAATTACTCACTGTAATCCAATCGCACACAACAGTAACATCACATACATCATGCCGATACTATAGTATTACAATCACTCAGTCATCCATTCACACACGACGTTCAGATCACACACAGCATTCCGATCACACACACAGCAATATAATCACACACACACAGCATTCCAATCACATACACAGTAATAGAATCACACACACAGCATTCCAATCACACAGCATTCCAATCACACACAGTAATGGAATCACACACACAGCATTCCAATAACACACACAACATTCCAATCACCCCCGGAGTAAATCCACTCGTGCGACTGAGAATCACTCGATCCCGTACAGAGGAAACACGTGGAGTCTACGTGTCAACTACCTCGTCCCGTATACAGGAGTCGCGACTCTGACGCCTGCTTCTGTATATTTGGAGTTTGCGTGTCTCTCTCTCTCCCCGTGGTCGCGTGGATTTTTCTCCGGGTCCTCCGGTTGTTCCCTCCACATTTAGAATGAACGTCACCACGCGTTTCGAGTAGATGGCTGCTCTCCATTGCCACACGGTAATGATGACGATAAGCCACCACTTCGTTCAGCTGTCATTTGTGATAGCCGTCGTCCCTTCTGAACAAGAGCTACATGGCTCAGTGATGCCTTGCCTGGTAAAATAAAATTAGTTTGCTGTATCGCCTTCCCCTGGCGAGCCATGTGGCACGGCTTCTCCTCCTCGTCGCCCACTCACGGGGGAAGGAGTTTCACAACATCTTTGTGTGCTCCACCAACCCCCCCCCCCCCCCCCCCCCATTTTCCTTTGGAACACAGTTCCTGAGCAACGGGCTCAGAGGCCCCAAAGACGTGAAGCAGCCAGCAACGAACAGCACTAAGTTCCAAAAGATACAGTACTTACTTGTGTTTCCAATCGTGCTAGGTGATTGTTTGGGGTGCGTGCGGGTGGCGTGCGTCGCACAAACACTCAGTCGGAGACGAGGTGGTCGCGGGAGGCACCGTCCTCCCCTTTTATTGTTGTCGAGTTCACGACACCACTCAGGCCCCCGAGTAGGATGCCCCCACTTACGAACGCCCGCACTTACGAACGCCTCCACTTACGAACGCCCGCATTTACGAACGCCCCCACTTACGAACGCCCCCACTTACGAACGCCTCCACTTACGAACGCCAGCACGTACGAACGCCAGCACGTACGAACGCCCGCACTTACGAAGGCCCCCACTTACGAAGGCCCCCACTTACGAACGCCCGCATTTACGAACGCCCGCAATTACGAACGCCCGCACTTACGAACGCCAGCACTTACGAAGGCCCCCACTTACGAACGCCAGCACTTACGAACGCCCCCACTTACGAACATCAGCACTTATGAAGGCCCCCACTTACGAACACCAGCACTTACGAACGCCCGCACTTACGAACGCCCGCACTTACGAAAGCCCCCACTTACGAACACCAGCTCTTACAAACCAGCTTCCATGAAAGCTTTGTTTTTTTTTTACAATCGACTTAAAACGCGAACTCTCGTTTGCAAATCGAACCGCTGCACTTTTGTTCAGCTGAGCGATCCTCCGTGAGATGTAAAGGAGTTGGCCTTGCGCTAGGAGTGAGTGTTTGTGTGTGTGTGCATTTAAATAATACTGTGCTCCGATTTACGAACCGTTCGACTTACGAACGGCCTCGGGAACTAATTGCGTTCGTAAGTCAAAGACTGTCCGTACCAGGTAGAAAGGCCAACTGAGATATATAACTTTTATCGGAAGTGACCTTGCCATCACAAATGACAGCTCAACGAAAGTGCCTTATAATGTGGAAACTTAAGGCAGCAGCTAAACACTCTGAACGTGTGATGTTGATTCTAACCGTGGAGGGTATGACACCGGATGGAGGAGCCGGAGAAAAATCCACGCGACCACGGGAAGAGAGAGAAAGAGACGCAAACTCCAAATAAACAGCAGCAGGCGTCAGGGTCGCGATCAAACTTACGGACCTCCTGCATACCAGGCGAGGTAATTAACATCTCCTAGCCCCATTTGTTATCACGGATAACCAAGGGGATGGTTCCCCCAGATCACTCGCCGCATGAACCACAGGGGAACAGGACAGCAACTTTATTTCTCAGTCAGTGCCGTGCAATCATCCATCTGCCTGCGGTAACAAAAATCCTTAAAGCAATACCCGGTACCAGATTTCGGTTACAAGTCAATTCTTGACACACCCAAAACACACACACACCATGCCAAGTCCCGTATTGTAGCGGGTCCAACCCGGATAGGTGGCAACCCGAGGGTGGGTGGGTGAATGAGTGAGCGAGAGGGTGGGTGAATGAGTGAATGAGTGGGTGGGTGAATGAGTGAATGAGTGGGTGGGTGAATGAGTGGGTGATGAGTGAGCGAGAGGGTGGGTGAATGAGTGAATGAGTGGGTGGGTGAATGAGTGAGGGGTAAGCAAGAGGCTGAGTGGATGGGTGAGTGAATTATTGGTTTGAGTGAATTAATGGGTTAATGAGTGAGTGGATGGGAGGGTGAATGATTGAGTTGTAGGTTGAATTAATGGGTGAATAAGTGAGTAGGTGGGTGGACGGGTGGGTGTTTGAATGGATCAGTGAGTGAATAAGTGAGTGGGTAAGTGAATGGATGAGTGGGTGTTTGAGTGGATGAGTGAGCGAGTGAGTCGATGGGTGGATCGTTGGGTGTTTGAATGAGTGAGTGGGTGAGTGAGTGGATGGATGGGTGGGTGTTCGAGTGGATGTCAAGCGTGGGTGGATGGGTGAGTGGGTAAAGCGATGGAGGCTGTCACCTCTGTCACGGATTGCCACGGGACAGGTGGCAACGGCTCGGAGCCCACGGAGCACCGCATCCGAGGAGGGTGCGGGTGGCCGTGGGCGACCTTGGCCAAGTGCCGTGGCGGGGTCGCTCGCACGGCTTAAATACCGAGCCGATTTAGATATTTTATTGCAGCACACACACACACACACGTAGACACACACACGTAGACACACACACGTAGACACACACACACGTAGACACACACAGACACACGCGAACGCTTATCTACCCCGCAGAACGATGAGCGTGCGTCACTGCGGTGGTACACGCATTGGCGGTCCCTGAGTCAGTTTTAGTGCGAGGCGCGCTTTTTGTTAGGTTAGATCGCGTAAATATATACATGTGTCGTTAAACCCGCCACCACCCGACACAGCCAACTAGTGAGGGTTGTCACGTAAACAGAACGTGGCCAATTCGTGACAAGTCCAGCACTAACCGGTTGTGTGTTTGAGAGCCAAGCCGCAACATTTACGATCTTAGTGCCGTGACCTTTCGCCAGTAATTACAACCGGCTTCATCAGGCGACAGCCACATTTGTGGAGAAGTCCTCCACCTGTTTCGTCCCTTCAACACAGGCGTGGATGTGGTGACGCCCCTCTTAGTTGTGTGCTCTTCTTTCGCGAAGTGGGGGGGGGGGGGGGGGGGGGGGGGCGGGGGGTTATGAGACACGCAAATTCCAAATATACAGCAGCAGCAGGCGTCGTCAGGGTCGGGATCGAACCCACGACTTCCTGTAGACCAGGCGAGGTAGTTAACATCTCATAGCCACCGTGATGATGATGATGATGAGAGACGCAGACTCCAAATATGCAGCCGGTGTGGTCAGGATCGAACCCACGACCGCCTGTACACCAGGCGAGGTAGTTACAGTGAGGGAAAATAATTGTATTTGATCCCCTGCTGATATTGTACGTTTGCCCACTGACAAAGAAATGATCAGTCTATAATTTTAATGGTAGGTTTAATTGAACAGTGAGAGACATAATAACAACAACAAAAATCCAGAAAAACGCATGTCAAAAATGTTATAAATTGATTTACATTTTAATGAGGGAAATAAGTATTTGACCCCCTTTCAATTAGAAAGATTTCTGGCTCCCAGGTGTATTTTATATAGGTAACGAGCTGCGATTAGGAGCACACTCTTAAAGGGAGTGCTCCTAATCTCAGCTTGTTGCCTGTATAAAAGACACCTGTCCACAGATGCAATCAATCATTCAGATTCCAAACTCTCCACCATGGCCAAGACCAAAGAGCTCTCCAAGGATATCAGGGACAAGATTGTAGACCTACACAAGGCTGGAATGGGCTACAAGACCATTGCCAAACAGCTTGGTGAGAAGGTGACAACAGTTGGTGCGATTATTCGCAAATGGAAGAAACACAAAAGAACTGTCAATCTCCCTCGGCCTGGGGCTCCATGCAAGATCTCACCTCGTGGAGTTGCAATGATCATGAGAACGGTGAGGAATTAGCCAGAACTACACGGGAGAATCTTGTCAATGATCTCAAAGCAGCTGGGACCATAGTCACCAAGAAAACAATTGGTAACACACCACGCCGTGAAGGACTGAAATCCTGCAGCGCCCGCAAGGTCCCCCTGCTCAAGAAAGCACATATACATGCCCGTCTGAAGTTTGCCAATGAACATCTGAATGATTCAGAGGACAACTGTGTGAAAGTGTTGTGGTCAGATGAGACCAAAATGGAGCTCTTTGGCATCAACTCAACTCGCCGTGTTTGGAGGAGAAGGAATGCTGCCTATTACCCCAATAACACCATCACCACCGTCAAACATGGAGGTGGAAACATTATGCTTTGGGGGTGTTTTTCTGCTAAGGGGACAGGACAACTTCACCGCATCAAAGGGACGATGGACGGGGCCATGTACCGTCAAATCTTGGGTGAGAACCTCCTTCCCTCAGCCAGGGCATTGAAAATGGGTCGTAGATGGGTATTCCAGCATGACAATGACCCAAAACACACGGCCAAGGCAACAAAGGAGTGGCTCAAGAAGAAGCACATTAAGGTCCTGGAGTGGCCTAGCC